TTCGTCTCTCTAAACCCTAATTTTATTTGTGAAAAAGAAAAAGAAGGCTATATGCAATTTTAATTTAACTTTATCAGTTTGAGCATTGACAGAGCTTCTGAAATGTTGAAACTGAAACAACAAAGAAGAGAGAGTCAACCAATAAGAATTACCCAACTTAGAACAAAATAAGCTCTCTGAGCGTCTTGACTAATATTGGCATGGGAGATTTCTATAGAAATGGACTTGTAGAGAGAAAGATATATGGTTGGGGACACAGAAGTGTACGACAACTGTGAACCAACAATAGGGTCGTGAGCTTTTGGCTTGTTTCATGTATCGGATCTAGGAAGTGTACAACAGTGAAATGGAAAGCACTGATGCACTCAAAGTTACAGACAGAGACAATAATTAATATTATATATTTATAACATACTTTACTAATCTAACATGCTACTACATATATACATATACACAGTCAGCACCATGACGTGACTGTCAAATTTCATCATGATTATTTTAATTTGATGTTTTCAATGTTAGATATGGCTGAGATGTCAAATTCTATGATACAAGCATATGTTTCTTCTTATGTCCAGTATTTGAATTGTGAATGGTGTGGAGCTTATACTCATCTGGAAGTGACAAATTACTTACAAAATTGGTTGTTGGTTCAGAGGATTTGATATCTAAAATTGCTTAGGGCTTATATATTCTTTACTATCCTAATCACAGGATATTTTTCAAATCTTGATATGAAACTTGATAAAATTTAAAAGGATAATTTGATGATGGTTGAATTTATGACCTTTTGGTTTTTTGCGCATTTAATGTCCATGTTTCTTTGTTTTGGTACTGTAATTGGTAAAAAGGCTAATCGAAACAGCATTTTTCTAGCCTAACTGCAAGTGGCACTAATATGCTAAAATGCAATGTGGCCGGGCAATTGTGGTGGTCAAGTTTAAGGGATTGGCATTGGTTATGAAGGATTGTGTGGCTGAGGTCACATTGGTGATTAATGTTACGTGAGTGGGGGTTGCTGGTGGTTTGTGCGACTTTGGTGGTAGACAATTGATGACCTGGTCTGGTGAACATATAACTGTAACTTTGTTAGTGAACACTGGTGGTTCAAGTGGTTTGGGTGGTTGCAGTGTGGACAGTGGTGCTGGTGCTGGTGGACATGAACTGTAACTTGTTAGTGAGCCCAAGAGTTCAATGGTAAAGTGCTGGTGGTTGATGAGGACAGCAGTGACGGTGACCCTTTCTTATAGTTTTGTGTCTTGACAGTGGTACTTTGTATTTCAATTAGTGTAAAAGTTAGTTTCAATTTGATTTTTTTTTTTTTTTTTGTTGCTGTTAGTGTGTGATCTATTGTACGTCATTAAATTTTTTTTGTTAGTTTCTTGTTAATTAATTAATTAATTTTTTTTTGTTAGGTCTCAAGTAGATCAAAGTTAAGTATCACATTATTATAACAAGTGTATGTCATATTAAATTTCAATTCACCATCATGTTTATTTATTTATTTTGTTTGTGTTAGTGTGGGAACTATTGCTAAACATATACAATAACTTTCTGTGGGAAAGCTGACTATGAGGAGGCTATTTTGGATCCTGAATCAATACACTATTACGTTATACAAGCTAATGGAAAACTTCAAAGCGACTATGATGTTGCTACGAGACCTGACGAGTGGGTCAACAAGTATGAAGTTATGTTTTTGGCCATTTTACCTGACGGCCCCGCTCGATCCAAGGCACCTACTTACCGGCAAAGCAAGCAATGCATTAAGATAATTGGGTAAGTGTAATTTTTAAAAAATTAAAATTTGTTTTTGAGTTATGCATGTTGTCTGCTTTGACACATCTACACGATCTGGGATTCCACACTAGTGGAAAGTGGAAAAACATTTATGTTGTCAAACATAGCCCAAGATTGTTGGCAGATTTTGAGACAGGAGCGGAGACTCCCGTCTGATATTGTCGAATTCCTCAACATACTGAAGTGGGGTTGCTTAAGGTCGGGAATTTCTTTGTTTTTGTACACTTTTTCCTAATACTATCTATTAATTTTCCAAATTTTGCCTTGTTTTCAGCAAAAACCCAATATCTCTTAACAAAACATTCGACATTATTAAGTCCTGCAGATGGGACTTATTTCATAACTAGGCTTCTTGACAACATAACATCATTGAGTTGCTATTCACATCTTGTGAAACAATTTCAAAGTTTCAAAATAACTGTGAACGGGAAGCAGCTGTGAACAGGAAGCAGGTAAAAGATTGGCGAAGGTGTGTTCCCCTAATACTGAACTGTCTAATGTGTTGTTTTATCCTGGAAAGACACCGCCTGTGATGGCGTATTAGATTGAACCTTGGGATCATTTTAGGTATATGAGAAATGCAATTGCGCATCTTATAGCCAGCTGCTACTTTGCAGTATGTAATGTTAAATCAAGTTCGTTATCAATTATTTTAAAAAAAATTCAAATTTTAACATTTTTTTTCTGTCTTTTCATTTTTTAACTTGAAAAGGCGATATTTCCCGATAGCATCTCTCAGGTGCAACGGTTTCTATTCCGTGAGGGAATACTTGACAAGTTCATTTGACTGTAAGTATTTACTGTTCCCACCCCGTATACTGTAACTTTTTGGACCTATTAGAGATGATACACTTTCTGCTTTGGCATACATTCATTCTATCCTAAAATACACCGATGGAGTTTAACTTGGAAAGTAGTTTACGGCAGTGTATACTGTAACTTTCTTATGATTAACTAGTTTCTGTTACATTAAAAATGCTACGGTTCCAACTAGTCAACTTCAAGGCTTTTCATAGTCAAGGGAGTCAGCTGCTTTACAAGCTTTCTCTTAGACTGCAAACTCTTGAATCACATAAGCTCAATTTGAAGGTCATCTTTTATAAGATCATGTCAACATCTTTTCTCTCCTTTTGCATAGCTTCTCGAACTAAAGTAAAGGAAAATCGATGAAATTAAACCAAATCCGCACTGTAAAGTCTTTTTTTTTAAAATAAAAAAAAAAATCTCATTGTAAAGTAGTTCAAACAATATATGTTGACTTAAAGGCTGATAAATTATAACCCACATTCCTCCACCTGCAGATTCTTATGGCCCTGCATATATCATCATGAAGAAAGGTCAGTATTTATTTAAATTCTTTTGTTTTTGATGGTGTAGATATTTTGTTTTTGAGATTGATATTTGGAATGGTATTTAGACTTGCCACTTGTTCAGCATGAAAATAAAAGAAACCGTTGATGTTTTGGGGATAGAATCGTTCTCAATTTTGCCATTTTTGTGCTGTACGGTTTATGTGTAGATCTTCCTTTCCTCTCTCTCTTTATTTCCATTGTAAATGTGATTCAATTTATTGATTTTCCTAATTTGCTTAATTTTTTATTTTTTTCCCATGTTTTATTTTTTTTTTCTTATTTAAGATGAAGGATCATCGAAAGCCAATGAAGCTGTGGTGCCACAAAACAGTGATTTTAGTAGAAGAGGAGCAAGTAATTGTTTTGGGTTTTACAGATTGTTAATGCATGCTACCTTGAGATATTCCATCTTATGTTACTTAATATTCATTAGCTGTTGTTTTTGGGCCGTGGCTATGGTGGGTGGTGTTTGGGTTCCAAAATGTTGATACTTCTAGAGGGAAGAATCTATAAGCTTTCAAATACTCACTGTTTTATGGCTGTAATTTTTTTTTTTTTTTTTTTTTAATTACATGTTTCCTTCATTCTAGCTTCACGTACCACTTGTTCCAAGTACGGGGAAGTACATGTGTGCGTAAAATCTATTGATGCAAAGTTCTCATTTTCTTCCATTTTGTGCAACTAATACCAAATGTTAGATTTGTACCCCTTTTGCATATGCTAAGGGTCCGTTTGGTTAGTGTTTTGTTCTAACCTAAGACAGAAAAAGTGTAATGTGAACAAAACAAGTTTGGAACAGAAAATTTGGAATGAAAATTTTAGAAAAGAAAGATGGTGAAACATGTTTGGTAGCATTTTTTACCTTCAGAAAATATTCCAAAATTTAAAGATATGGGTTTTGATTTATTGAACAATCTGAAATGTATAATATATGGGTTTTTTTAATTTTTTTTTGGATAATTAAAATAAATTAATTTTCTAGAACAAAACCATCAAGAAACAGATCTATGCCTTTGCAGCTGAAAGGAGAGGCAAAATATACACAAAAACATACTATATATATATATATATGAACTACAAAATTATCTATGATAATAACTATTATGACAGAGCTTGATTAGTTGATTTAGAAATAAAAAATTATACACAAATAAAAAATTTCAGAGCTTGATTTCACCAAAAACGATTTAGTTTGCAAAATATACACAAATAAAAAATTTCACAAAATACCATTTAGTTTGCAAAACAAGAATTACAGAGGTTGATTAGTTGATTTAGCAAAAAAATTAAAACAAAAGCCATACACACAAGTTAGCAGTTGCAGAGAGAGAGGGGGGAAGCTTGAGAGTAGAGAGGCAGCGGCTGAAGCTTGCGAACGGCGAACCCGAACTGGAACAGCGGGCGATGGAAACTGAAAGATATGGGTTTTGATTTTTTGAACAATCTGAAATGATATGCTGATATGGGGGTTTTGATATGGGTAATAGGTTTTGAACTTTTGATTCTTGCTAACTGAAATATATGGGTTTTGATCTTCTGATTCTTGTAGATTTTGTAGTTTGCAGTTGGAGAGAGAGAGAGAGAGAGAGAGAGAGGGCAAGTTCAGAGTTGAGAACGAGAATAGAGATGAAAGCGTCGTCGATTTGCAGAACGGGAATCGCCTCCGGCATCACCGTTTGGAGAGCGCAGAACAAACCCTAGAGTGTTGCGCCTTTCCTTTTATACCTGTGTCGGGTTGGACCATTTTGTTCCTTCCGCTATAATTACTTTTGTAGCCCAAAAAAACTTCAGAACAAACGAGAACACAAAATGGTGTTTTAACTTTGGGCTCAAAATTCTGAAGTGTTTTGATACTGTTGAAAACAAAATAAGTCGGCCCAAACACATTTTGTTTTCAAAATAAGCTACTGTAACGAGTCTGGAACATTAGAGCCTGTTTGGCAAGTGTTTTGTTTTGTTTTAGACCTGCTACAGTAACCCTTTTGAAGCCTAAAACACGTTTGGCTGGGCTTGTTGCGTTTGAAACAGTTGCAAAACAGAATCAAATTTGGGCCCAAAAGATGAAACACCATTTTGGTGTTTTTTGTTGCTTTCGGTTGTATTTACACTGCAGCGGAACAAGCAAATCATTCATTTAACTGTAGCGGAGGCAACAATTGAAAGGAGGTATAAAAGAAAAACTTGCAACAATCCTAGGGTTTGGTTTGCTGCGTTGTGGTCTGGCAATCTTGGCGATTCTTGGTGACAACTGAACAACTGCTATTTTCGGCCGATACTTTCCACGATATGCTTTCCTTTGCTGCTATCTTCGACGATCTCAATAGGTTTGAACTTTGTTTGAATATTTCAGTTTTTCTTTTCTTTTTTTTTTTGTTTTGCGGTAATCTACAATTTGAGTTTTTTTTTATTTGTTTTTTTTTTTCTTGCAATTGATGGGTCGCAAGGTTTGGTGATTTGTTTGTATTTCATGATTTTTTTTTTTAATATCTAATTAACATACATGAACATAGATTGGAAAACGATAGAAGAAAAAAAATCAAACGCAGTAGAATTTTTAGACCTGCAAATTTCTGATTAGATTTTACAGAAACAAGACCTAAAGAAAACTCGGTAATGTCTATTCGAACGTATTGTTCAATTTGATTTTTAGAATTTTTTGAGAATTCATTGATTTAGGTAATTTTTGGGCACGGGGTCGTAATTTAGGTAATTCATTGATTTAGTTAATTTTTAGGTAATTTAGGTAATGTCTCTTCGAACGTATTGTTATATTAACATTGTTGAAATTCTTTTCTCAGATCAACAATGGAGTTTAACTATTTTATTTTTTTGGGGGTACGGGGTGGAAAAGAGTTTCCTGTATAACCAGATGCTAGCTCCAGAACACAATAGTCACTCTTTGTTTAGGTAATTTTTGTTTTATTTTCATCTTCCATAGAGAATTCAATCATCAACAGGTTTTTTTGCATCCATATCCTCAATTAAAATATTAACTCCATGGACAGAAAAAAGTAATCTTATTCGGGGAAAATTAATATTCCTGACAAACTGCAGCATATATGGGCTTATAAGTTAGCACAACCAGCCAACTTCATCAACTAATTCATTACTTGGTATGATTGAAAGGTCAATGTCAAGAGCAATTTATGGATTTGAACTCCTCTTGCCTTCCTCTGAATAAGTGCCCAGACCTCCATAAGCAAATTATATCTTGTAGAATGGCTTACAAACTGAAGGTTGAACTCTAATATATAAAGTTCACCAGTTTTCCATCTTGAGTTTCAACATAATAAAATATTGGGAGATTAGGTCTTAAACAATTTGGACTGGTTGATGTTATTCAACTAATTCGTATAGAGGAAATAATAGTGATCCGGATGGTCATCCAATTGGATGCTTCAAGATGGCTTCCAACTTCCAAAAACTAGTTTTTAGAAAGAACCTTTCAAAACTTGAGCCCAGAGGGAAGGTTAGAGTTTTTTAAGCATCTAAAATTTCTTTGCAAACAAAGACATGTCCATTCTTCCAAAATTTTAAAACCCCAGACCCCTTTCAAGGCTTTTCTTAGGAATTTCCTCCCATCTGACCCCATAAGACAAGCCATCACCTTTGCTGTTGCTCAACCAGAATTTGCAACTTTAGTACAAACAGCATTACATGATGTCACCAGAAATTTGATACAACTATAAATGAGAACATATCCAGTCCCATACTTCAATGCAAATCATAAAGTACTAATGTCACATTAGTTGTCCTTGAAACATCAAATTTGCTTTTGGAAAAATGTTTATTTCAGATAATTGTTAGGAGCAATGCATATCATTACAAGATAAATTAGTAAGTTTAGCAATCCAGGTAGAATATAGCCTCTTTGCTAATCCTGTCACAGGTTCCAAATGAACCTTTTTGCATACAAGTTCACATAAATTGCAGGATCAGTGACAACTTGCAAGTTTCCTGACAATTATGAAATCTCCTATCAACTCTCGTATTTTATAGGTTCTTTCATCTCCATTCACTGCATCCCCAACCAAAAGTCTACACACGTCCATTTGTGGGTCTGAGTTCCTTTTACAGTGATTGCGTGTTACAACAACAACCACCACCAAGCCTTTTCCCAATTACTTGGGGTTGGCTACATGAATCCCATGTTTCCATTCCCAATTACGGTGATTGCGAATTATATGTATAAGTTTGTATTTACTAAACATATGTAGTTCTCTGTTGGCATGCAAGAATATGGAAAAACTGAAAAGAACGAAAAAGGAACCAAACACCTTAATAAGCTAAAAGGACCTTTTATGTTTATCTTTTTTGTTCCCTTGAATCTTCTTAAGCAAAAATATATACAAATAGGGCAAACAATTGGACACAAGTGTACCCTTTTTTTAAATGTCTGAAGTAGATGTAGATGCAGTTGGACACAAGTGTCCCTTCAACCAGTGTTCAGAACGGATATCATTGATGGATACAAGTGTTCTAAGGATCAGAAAATTCAATTCCAGAATTTTTGTGCCTGTGTCAGACGTGCATCAGACACTCCTAGACACATGACTTACACCCCATGAACATATTTATAATTGAAAAATAAATTTATTATTTTACTGAGACATTCTAAACACTTCCTGACACAAATCTTATGCAGAAAAAACACCTTTTAAAAACAACAGCAGTTTTCTTTAGAAAAGATTGCCATATACACATGGAAGTCACAAATCAAGTATGCAATGAACTCTTTTAAAAATAGGAAAAAAAACAATCGTGGTGACTAAAGTACAACATGAGGGTAGTAATATTATCATTGATTGAATAATGGAAGAACTTATAGGGCTTTGAGTTATTGAAGTAATAGCATGAGTTATTGAATAATAGCATGAGTTATTGAAGTAATATATATTATTTTTGTTGTTATTAATTTGTTAGATGGATATGAATGTTGAGAATGTGGAATAATGTGGTGATTATCGCACAATTGAAGAAGAAGGGGTGGCTAAAGTGGTCGGGAGGAAGTGTTCAATCATAGGCATTCATCCTTGAGAAATATAATTGAGCGATGCTTTGGGTTGTTGAAGATGAGATTTGCTATTTTGAGGGTAATGCCTCCTTATAAGTTTTCAACACAAGTATTGATTGTAATGGCTTGTTGCACATTGCATAACTTCATCAGAAATCAGCATCAACCAGATGATTTATTTGATGGGTAACGATCTTCCTCAAACTGATGGTGAAGATGATGAGATTGTTGACCATGTGCCTTCGGCTCAGCTTCGAGAAATGGATCAGTTGCATAATACTATTACTGATCGAATTTGGAATTCTCTTCAGCACTCTTGATCCTTCTAGAAGTGATGGTATGTTTTTTCTTTTATATGTAATATATTTGTTGCTATTGTGAGCTTGTAATATATATATGTAATATAAATTATTTTTTCTGTTACTATTACTGGTTGATATTATTGTTAATATATTTCAACTTAAATGTTATTATTGCATATATGAAGTGTGTTGATGCTTTCTTGAAGGCCACATGTGCTGTTATGAAGATGATGTGTCGTTGCCATTGTCATCCACTTTATGAACTTATTATTAATTTTTAGTGACAACTATGTATTGTTAATGCTTTGTTCCAAACATTTAATGTAGAACTTAAACTTGTTTACTTTGTTGATTGAATATTTAAGCACTTGTAAATGGTATACACTCTATTCCAATTATGCTTTCAGTTGGGTTTGTTTTTATTTTTAATGTTCTGTTGGACTATACAGGTAACAGGATAATAAAATTGAAACAGATTATTGCAAAGAACTTGTAAATAGGTTATTGCAATTTTTTTTTTTTTACAAATGTTGACTCTCATGTAATATAGTAAAATGTGATCAGAGATATTTTTATTTTTAATGTTGTGTTGAACTATACAGGTAAAATGATAATAAAATTAAAGTAGGTTATTGCAAACAATTTGTAAATAAGTCAATGCAAATATATATATATATATATATATATATATATATATATATATATGTTTGTGGGTTCAAATTTCTCCATATCTATTAAAAATATGATAACTATTTATAAATATACTTAAAATTTATAAAAAAAAAAAAATTAAAAACAACGATAACCAAATATGGTTTTTTTTTTTTTTTTTTTTTTTTTTTTTTTTTTTTTTTTTGCAACAGTTGGACTGATCAAACATGTTTTGTTTTTAAAATTTTTGAAACGCATGACTTACCAAACATGTTTTGCATGTTTTTGTTTCCGATATTTCCACAACAAACATCGTTACCAAACGAGCTTCCGAATTTTTTTAAAAACACTCCTAAAACAAAAACACTGTTTTTGTTTTAGCCAAAAACAAAACGCCAAAAATAAAACGCATGCCAAACGGACCCTTATAAAACACAAAAGAATACTTCTTCCGAAACAGGCCCTAATAGTGGTGACAGTTCTGTTATTCATCTTTTTTACACTCACACCTCCTGGATGAAAGTTAGCCCAATTTTTGAACGGTCAAATAGCAGAGTAAATACCTATTTTACCCTTTAATATTTTATTTATTTTTAATCTCAAATATCAAAATTAATGACCAAAATATCCTTATTTTTGGAATAAAACAGTATTAACCCATCTCTCTACTTTCTCTCTCTAACCTCTCAATCCCCTCCATCCTACCATCACCACCACAACCTACCTCTAACCTCCGCCACCACAATCCACCTCCGTCCAACCCTTCTATATCTCTTCACTTGCCGCCGCCGCCAAAATATAATTAACTATTTATCTCTATTATATGTATATATACACACACACACACACATATACGCAGTCACCACCATCACGTGGCCACTACCACCTCCTCCTACCGTAGCCACCTTCCTTCTGTCCACCCTTACACCACCTACCATCGCCACAGCCCACCCCTTCTCTCTCTCCACCGCAACCTCCACCCCAAATCGCAGCCTTCAGCTGCATCACCACTGCCTCTGTGCTCCTCCTCCTTATTGTTACCGACTGATTGCAGATTTTGTCGTCAATTCCCGATTTTGGATAGGTATTGGTGGCCCAAGTTGTGGCGATGGTGGTAGTGCTGGAGTAGTCAAGCGGATCCTATAGAATTGAAGATTACAAATAATGTCGGCATTCAACTTTCCCTTTCATGACCAGCAACTGGCAGCCACTATCCTATAGAATTGAAGATTAGAATCTGGACGCCGTCGTCTTCGGCGTCAAGATACAGTACATTGCCGGCGGTGGATGGGTGTGATTTTCTTCTGGATATTCTGTCTGTATCTATTATCTTATGTATCTTTTACTTTTGTGTATTATATATATATATATATATATATATATATATATATATATATATATATATAGTATTATGTAATTGTATATATAAGAGTTGAAATAGGGAATTTTTTTTTTCACCTTTTTTTTTTGTATACCCAAACACCACCCACCATCGCTTCCTACACTGTGGATTTGAAGAGAGATTATGTTGTTGAAGGTTGGTGCGTACAATTTGAATCAATGGGCAATAATTTTGATTGCAATATGAAGAATATAAAGGAATCTATTTCTATGGTTAAAGGAGGATGGCTGTCAATAGACTTGGTCCAGAGGTTTAAATTATTCTATCATTCATATATGTATAAATGTGTATTATATATATTTTGTTCTTGGTTCTTTGTTGTTGTGGATTCATAGGAACTGAAATTGAGTTAATTTTTTTGGGGTTGATTTGGGGCAGAGAGCTTGTGTATGCGCGCATATACAAGTTAATTCACAAGAAGTTGGAGTAATAATACAGAAAGCTCCATGTTGCCAGTTTATGCTTGATGGATCGGTGTAAATTTACATTTTTGACCTTATAATTAAACCATTTGTTTATCATGAAAAAATTAGAAGAAATTAGAAGAGATTGTGTAGTATTAAGTTACACATTTGCCCCTCAAAAAATCTGGTTGGGATGAAAAAATAATAAGAGATTGTGTAGTGTGTATATATATATATATATGTGTGTGTAGGGTTTTTGACAAGAATAACCCTATTTATTACTTTTCTTATGCTTGTAAGTTAATACAATTATGTAATTTTGCACTCATGGAAATTCTTCTCCCCAATTTTATTTTATTTTGTTTTTCCCTCTCTTTTTCTCGAGAGTTCATATTGCCCGCAAGCAGTGCAAGAAACACTGTGAGATCGCCATCGCCCGGGGAGCATTGCAAGAGGGAACCGAAATCCATATTTTAATCCCTCTGGCATCGACCGAGCAGTTGTTGATTCATTGGATTCGGCCGGACTCAATATTTTAATTCTGGCTTCTCACCGAAATCATTCTTTTGTCGTCTATGTCGTCTTATTAAACATGGAGTAGTAAAATAAACTATGAGAAAGTTGAGTTCCATTGATTCCAATCTAAATCCATGTTTCAAATCTGGTTTGTATACATGGTATTACGAATTTGATTCACAAAGCACTTTTTATTTCAATGTTTTCTTTTTTTGAAGCACCAAAAAGGTCACAGCAGAAGGTTCACGACGGTAGTGGCTGGCAATGAAATTTGAAAATAGTAAGATAATGCCAAACACAAACCGATGGAAAGAGAAGAGGAACACCAGTTATATTGTTGATACAAGTGGGTCACTTTTTGTTCATTAAAATAATAATTTTAGTTTAATAAATGAATAATTTAGTTAAGGTTACTTTGTCCAAAACTTTTTTAACCTCTCATTGTTTTGACTTTTAACTTGCATACGGAGGTAGTGTATCAAGTCAATGAAATTATAGTGGTAGTTGACCAATATATTGTTCCAACTTCCGACCAGAGATGAAAAGCTTGAGGATGCTTTGTATAATTTGCCCTATAATATATAGAGGGTTAGTTTTGTTCATTAAATAATTAGAAAAAGGTTAAAATAGTAATTTCATTATTCAAATAAGTCAATTCATATGTAAATTCACTTTGTGTTAGAGGTGGTGGAGTGTTATGTAAACTATAATTATTCGTGTTAAACCATTCATCACAAATAAACATGAATCCCATAATCTTAGAACTTCATGATTTTCACATATCTATAAGATTCAAGATGTCAAACCTTGTTGAGATTAAATCCAACTTCTAGATCCTTTAACCACGAACTAATCTGCAACTCTGATCAACAAACAAAGGTGGAAACTGGTTTCTCTCTCTTGGCCTTTTGTACACATAAAACTTTTATGTGTTGTATCATTAATTGTACATAATTGATGGAGTATATTGTAATACCCCTAATTTTTAAAAGGATATAACTGGAATTTCTTTATTTATTTTATGTGCATTTTATTGATTTATTGATTAGTTGATTTATGTGCATTTAAATATGATTTATCTGGTTATATGTTTAAGGGTTTTATTTGCTTAATTGATAATTGTGTTTGTTTAAATTCATTGTAATTGTTTTTAATTTAATTATTGGTTAATTTAAAGTTTTGATTATTAGTGACTTAATTGACGTGTAATTTTTGGTAGCTTATATAATTTAGGTGTGTTGTATTTATGGTTTAGATTTAGGGTTTTATTTTCGTGTAGTCGCCGACTTAAATTAGGTTTTACGTAAATCTTATAAATATACGGTTATATAATTTGACTTAAGGTTGGGACGTATATATATAAATCTTATACGTCTACTAGGGTGAGGAAATTAAAACTCAATTCACGTAAGGGTTTATAAGAGGAAAAACATAGAGGTTTCTTGAGAAAGAAAAACAGAGGGAAATTGAGAGAATCAATTAGGATTGCAGCCATGGATTGAAGGTGGGATCAAGGAAGAAAGAGTCGATGGCTTGTGGAATAAAACTGGAACAGTGGGAGAGTTGCAGGTAGTCTACATTCGTTGCAGAATTTAGCAACGGCGATGAAGGTTTCAAACCGGAATCTTAAGGCAAGTTCCATTCTCTCCTTCCTGTAAACTTGTGTTCTGTGCATTCTAAATAGACTCCAGGAATTTAATTAAAACTTTTAAAACAAATTTTATGCATACTAGTTTAGTCTGAAATTTGGTTAACGTATAATAACTGAAGATGGTTTTCCTTGCATAAATTGTTAGATTATGTATTAAACCTCTGTAAATTAATTCATAATGGAATGTGAGGTCTTGTTAGGATGGTTAGGAAGTTAATTAACCTTTAAAATGGAATTATGACACATGTGATCAGACTTTAGATTGTTCATATGTTCAGTTAACTGTGATTGGCGTTTTTGGATACGGTTTTGTTTTTGTTTTAGATTTTTGTCAATTAATGCATGATGGATGGTGAGAAGTTTCTAGGGCTTTAAGAATTTAAATTGAACCCTAGGAATGTTAAAATACTTGGGACAAGAACGTCGGACTTCGCCGGAAACGCAGAAAATCGTCGGACGAAGTAGAGACGAGGCAGAGGGGCTCTCAGGGGGGAGAA